CTTCGGGTTTGAGTCGTTCGTTCATCACGTGACAGCCCCATACACTTTAACCAATGCAGTCTGAGCCAGAAATAGAATTGATTAGTTCATCTCTCGAGTCTTTCGAATCGTTCGTTCTTTTGTCACGTGACGTGACAGCATTGGATAGAGAAATTAGTTAATTTACAAGCTTCCTTACAAACGGGTGCATAGTTATTATCATGGGCGTCGCTAGGCCATTTTTAGGGGGACTATAGCCCTCCTAAAATGACTACTCAGCCCCCCTAAAATTTTGCGATTATCTCCATAAACTGTACACGAAATCGTGATCGCCTTAGTCCCCTTTAAATTTAATATGAAAACGGCGGCAGACTTCGATCGGCTCCTCCGTCTTTTTTGCGATTATCTCCATAAACTGTAAACGAAATCGTGATCGCCTTAGTCCCCTTTAAATTTAATATGAAAACGGCGGCAGACTTCGATCGGCTCCTCCCTGTCTTTCAGCGCGTTCTTCAATCCGCAGACCGCAGCGGCTCAGTGCGAGAAACCGAGGACAAGGTGTGTTTATTGATATACTGTTATAATATATGCATCTGTGCAGTTTTTTGTCATAAATTCAGTTTACAAAATATCATGGGAGAGCAATAATCGGTTGGTTCCTCATCTACTGTAGCCTAAGTTTTCACTGGGTTCACCCCTCATCACACCACAGCTGTTTCCTCCAGCGAAAATGAAGCACATATGAACGCATACTTACATTTTTATTTTATATATATATATAACTTTTTATTAGGCTATTATTATTATTATTATTATTATACCCTCACTGGGGGCTGAGCCCCCCTAAAATGAAAATCTTAGAATCGCCCCCGTTCGTATCAATGCATTTTTATTATTTTATCAATAAGCGATTTATATTTTAGACCCCTTTTAACCTACCCCCAAACCTAAACCTACACATTTTATAGCGAATATGCATTTTTATCATTTTATCAATAAGCGATGTTGTAACAAAGGTAATAAAGTGTTGGTTATTATTAAGTCTCTTTCCGGCTCAGACTGCATTGGTTAAATTTATGGGGCTGTCACGTGATGAACGAACGACTCAAACCCGAAGACTCGAAACAGGTGAACTACTTTACTAAATCCAGTACAGAACCTATAGGATGTTGCGCATGCGCGACTGAACGAATCACTCCCCGAGACGACTCGTTCTTCCCGA